TAACCAATAAGAGTCGGAGGTATTAAGATTGAAAGCAGTAATATGTGAGCGAACTGCATCAGTAAAAAGATAAAACAAGATAATAAGATAAAGTGATGCCCACTGGGCACTAATAGACATTGGTGTATGATTTTGATCAGCGGTTTACCCCTCGATCTATCCGTGGCAAACGAGTTTTACTAGTACAAAATTGTCGCTGATAGACGTCACTAGAATAAGCACAATTAGAGACTTGAGGAGATTGAGTCAATTTATTACTGGGGCAAAACAATTTGCGGATCTAACAAAACTATTCAGCAAATAAAGTTGGCCGTAGCAAATTCGCTCGCTTTGTTCGCATAATATAACGAAATTTGCTTACAGCTAAATATTTGCTGTTTTAGCAAGCCCTTTTTTCCCTCTGCGGAAGCATACGAGTTAAATAATCGCGAGCTTAGCAGGGAATATAGGAAGACAAATATAGGAAGAGCTCTCGCGACTCCGCGGATCTTGGATCGTTTCGCAGAAGTTCCAACCGGTCCGGCGCAATCGCGTACCACGTGGGCGTTATTATCGCGAAGGGTACAAAGGAAGTAACACGAATCGCATAATCGCGGATGTGTTTCTCTGCAAACGTACGATCGGCCCTTCTCTGCCCCTGCGGGCGTTTAACCGCGCGGAGTTAACCATTTGAAGCATACATTTTTCTATTGAACCGTTTCTCGTGAAACTTTGTATACAGGGGTTTCTGGGGTCGCTGATTACGAAACCGCTATCAGATTTTCATAATTCAAAGTGGCGGAATTCAAAACTTAACAAACAACATCATTCAACTGTAATTCAACCACGATAAGAAACATTATTTAGATATTATTAGAAGCCACGGAATCTAAATTTCAGTTGTAAATTCTTATGGAGCTATAAAAAATAGCACGCGCGAAATGGCGGATGCAAAATTGAAATTTGATCATTCCTTAGAATTTGCTCATTCTTGGCACTACCCAGGGCTAACGACGCGGACGTGACGAGTTCTTGAATACCGTAATCAAACGAAAATGCGGAAAAACTTGAGAACTTAAAAAATTCACGTACTTTGTATCCGCCATTTTGGATCGGCCATTTTGAATTTTGAAAATCTGACATCAGATTCGCATCCAGCGACCCTGAAAACCGGCCCCTTTGTACCAAGTTCTCAAGGAATGATTTTAAAATACTTGGTCAATAATGAATTTTTCCGAAAAAATTGCTGTTTTTCATATTTGTTTATTTATAAAACTTTTACAATAAAGATTCAAGACTACTCAACTTTTTTTATGTTGTTTTATTGCTAAGATACCCAAAAAATGCAAAAAAAAAACCCGACCAAAAGTAAAGAAATTGAGGTGGTTTAACCACCATGCTTCAAAGGGTTAAGCTAAGACTCCATAAACAAGTCGAACTGCGGCAACGCGTGCGGCAACGAATCAAAAGATTTAACTTTCAACGCAGGAAGCTTGCGGCAAGCTTCTGATTGGTCGACTCGCATTGCCGCATCTATGGAGTCTTATCCGGTCCGCGTTTTTGCCGGGCAAACCGGACAGATTGGGACGTTCCTTGTCGCGCGCACCGCAGAGACATTGGCCGCGGTTCAGTCCAAATCTTGAATCCGATTGGCGTATGGTTTTAATGGCGGCAGAATCCAAGCGCATACTCCAATGAATTTCACGAATTTTCCAACTGTTGCAGCGTAGCTTTTTCCGCTGAACGCAGCCATTGCGTTCCGCGTTGCGTCGCGCGCGCTTTCAAACGCCGACATTCGGGGCGCGCGGGTTTCATTTGACCAGTCAGGCTGGAGGTGAGATTGCGGATTGCGGCCGTCATCCCGTAAGATTTATAGAGGCGGGCGGAAGTGGTCGATGACGGTCGAAAACAGTCCAGCACGTTTCTTTTTCGATTTGATTAATTATCATCCCCCTCCGCCGTCGCGCACGCGAATGCACGGAGATGAATCTACTCTAATCATCCTTGAAGCGAACGAGGTTGAGAGACCGGGGGATCCTTGAGCGGTGTTTCTCCTCTATCTAGATTGTCCGAGTAAACAGCTCGAGGTGGTACGCCTTTCGAATCAATCGCGGGACGGATCTCCCCCCGGTTTTTCCGCAGGAGCTGCCGCGTGCGGGACCCGTGAACGGCGGCAAAATAAATACTATCCGATGTGTAATGTCGAAGCACGACCGGCGAGTCTCTATTCCCGACGTAAATATCGTAGCGTTAACAATTGTAATTGTTACTTTCTTCTATCGGTCGACTGGGCGGGGGACTTTGAACGAGAATTTCGCTCGAGCCGAACGAAAGAGGTGACGGCTGTCGCCCTGCCATTAATTTCCTCCCCATTTCGATCCCGACTTTTCCCCGGGATATCGGGACTCGTCGTCGTCGTCGTCGTCGTCGTCGTGCAGGTTTTGTCGTACAAGCGGATCCGCGACCTCGGCTCGCGCAGCTCGGAGGGAGAGAATTCCTCCTCTAGAATTCCGCCTTTTGAGAGGGATGTTCGAGCGGTAATTGAGACGATGTCCGGTGGGGGTTTGTTTTCAGAAAAAACCCGCCGTGTTACTTCCATTCTCCCCCGGCCCCGTTGACGTGTTCCCCCGGTCTTAGTCTCCGCGCGCGGCTCTTCCCTCCCCCATTTTTTCCCCCTTTTGCTATCCTTTTGCGTCGGTCGTTCGATCGATGTCGTGCCCAAGGGATGATAAAAATAAACAGCGCGAGACGCGGGGACAGAGGGAAAGAGCGTAAAACCACGCATTGCCTTCGCTAACCAGCCGATTTTTTTGCGACACGCGCGTCTGCGTGCGGTTATTGCTTTTTAGCGCATGAAACGTTTTATTGTCCATTATACTCGGGAACACGTAGATAAATAAATAGATAGATCGAGGGATGGCATGGGGAGGGGGAGGAGGGCACCGCGATGCCCACGGACATTTCCGTCGCGAACGACGGAAATAAAAGCGAGGAGATCGTGGCCGGCGTTGCTCTCGTGTGCGGCTCGAGAACTTCTGGCTCGCGTCGTCGACGATTGAATCTCCCCCGTTTATCATCGATTATCGCGATATCCCTCGGGACGAGTCAACGCCGCTGCGACCGGCGCCTTTCCGATTTATTCCCGCATTGAACTTGGCCGCGTTGGAAAGTGGGATGATTAACAGGACGATTTAATACGAGCCTCTCGAAATGATAAACCGAGATGCAGCCGCAGAGAATCCTTTTCAATTTGGAGTCTTGCGCGCAAAATGATTGGAACGTGTCGCTACTTGAAATGACATCGGTTTAGACTCGAAGAGGGATTGACTTTGACGGGACCGAAGTGGGCCTCAAGTATTCTATTCTGTCTTCATTTGGACCTCGGGGTCGGTTTGAAACTCCTGTTTGAGGCCCAGAGAACGTAATGAAATATTTCAACTTCTTTGAAATTTCTTTGGCCGACGAGGATCTATCGAATCTCTGTTGATTACACTCGCATCGGCCTCTTAGCCGCTGAAAGGGAAACAGCGAGTCTCTTCAGGTCTATCTGAGGTCAAAAATTCAATATACGACGGTGAGTAAAAATTTATCCGCATTTTTCGTTCTACAATTTATTTACACAAAAATAGGGGTTCAATATGTACGTCATTTTTCAACATAGTCTCCTCCCTTGGCAATGTACTTGGTCCAGCGGTGCACAAGCTTGCGTATACCTTCCGAGAAGGTTTTCGGTTGGTCGCAAAGCCATTTTTGCACCGCTTCCTGCACGTCTACGTCTGTAGAAATTTGACGACCTCGCGAAGCATCCTTGAGCGGCCGAAACAGATGAAAGTCGGAGGGAGCAAGATCTGGGCTTGCAGGAAGCGGTGCAAAAGTGACTTTCTTCTTGGAAGAAATACACCTTCTTCTTTGGAACCAATACGCTTGTGAACCGCTGAACCAAGTGCATTGCCCAGGGAGGAGACTATGTTGAAAAATGACGTACATATTGAACCCCTATTTTTGTGTAATTGTAGAACGAAAAGTGCGGATAATTTTTGACTCACCCTCGTATTTTCTCCGGCACGAAGACCTTGGTTCGTCCTCATTGCTCCCAATTAAAAAATTACACGAGACTAAACCGTGGCCAAGATATTCGACTCGGGCAAGTTATTTTATCATTTTATTATTATAAGGGGCGACGGATTTACTTATTATATAAATTAGTTGAGAATATAACAGCTATAAAAAATGGTATTCTTATAATGACTAACTGGCTGGTTTTGCTCACTTCTGAAGTAAGTGTTGAGGAGTTAAGTGTTACCAGTTTTTCATAGTTGACTATAAAAGGAGATAATCGTTTATGGACAGATGAGGAAGAAACGCACCGGCGGTAAAAAGACCCGTCCCCGGGCACCGTCGCGATCTGTGTAACTCGAGCGCCGACTCGTTCTTAAACAGGTCGGCGGCGCGATCTTGTTTAACCTAATAAATCGGCCGGCGGGAACTCCCTTTAGCGTCTTCGCGGTGCGGAGCGTTAATTATGCTGCGCAAATAGTCAAAGGGTGGTCTCGAAGGAAGCGGGTATCGGCGCGGTTTGCTCGAACGGGGAACGGTGGGTTGGGGGCAAATTAAGTTCATCATCCGATGAAAACGCATCGTCTGTGAATCGGTCTGCGGTTTACGCGCGTTTAATTAGAGAACGCAGGGAGAGAGAGAGAGAGACCGATGGCCTTCGCGAGCGTCTTCGGCGTCCGTTCACTCCGTAACAATTCCACGCTCAAGGGAGCTACGCACGCGCGCTGATCCGCACGTGAGTGAGCTCACAGGGTGAGCCCGAGAGATGGGCAACTAGAAGAATTAAAAAGAAAGAAAGAAAAAAATGTCAGGTGCGCGCGAGAGAGAGAAAGAGAGACAGATAAAGCTTGAAGAGCAACCAAGAGAAGTCGCTCGCCACCCTCGGACTCTCGCGTTCCCTTTTATCTTTTCGCGGAGCCTCGAGAGCGCGACCCGAACGTTCGAGCGAGACGAGAGAGACTCACCTGAGACGATTGTCGAGAGGAACGCTACACTCGCGATGGCAATCGCCACGCAGAGGAGCCTCATATTATATAAAATATCCCTCTTCACCTCCGCTCGTCCGCTTCTACCCTCTTACTCCTCGCGACTCCTGCGCCTCCGCGTTCGGCACCAAGGGACAGCCCTACGATCGCGGACGCATCGTCGTGTCGACTCGACCTCGCGCGGCGCGGAGAAGGCACGGAGGACGCGAGGTGTACTCGCGCCGGCGAACGGAACTACGCGACTGTCTTGCGGTTGGGTGTGCGACCGGTCGTTCGGGACGTGAAAGACTGAGGAAAGGCTCGTGGTGGCCAAGTGGTATTAGCCTCGCAACGCGGCCCACTTGTACAGGGGCCTCTCCCAGCCGTTCCGATCTCTCCGCTCCGACGAGAGAGGAGCCCGGTCTCTCTTTCTCTCTTTCTCCACCTCGCCGGTGGAATCCTCCTCGAGGCGAGAGACCGACGCGAGCCGACCTTCTGCCTTCACGCGATGTCGAGCTCGTCCTCGCGTTCGCCGAATGCGACAAGGCTTTGCCTAATAATTTTTGTTTCACGACGCGTTTAAGTCGTCATTAGGCATAAGACTCTGTCCGATGAAAATTAATAAATTCAGTATTAACAAATTAATAAAATTCCTATGAAATGTGATAAACACAAAGTTGAATTAAGGAATAGAGCCGCGACAGGGTGTTAGTGTCTAAATATTTTGTATCTTAATCGTCAGGAAGGTGGATCGCCAGTGAATAAAACACAAAATTCCAGAGTTGTCGACAATAACTGGCACAGTATATTTCTCAATTAATACACGACATTTCGGCCAGTAATACTGGTCCTTATCTTTGTACCTTAAATTTATTGCGCAAAATATTACCTCCATTAGTACACACCTCCATTAATACACGACGTTTCGGCCAGCAATACTGGTTCTTACCTTTGTATCTTAAATTTATTGCGAAAAATATTACCTCTGCCAGGAGGTCCTCCCTCTCACTAGACGGGCGTCTCAACCGATTCGACCACCGAGGCATCTGGGAATATTCATCGCAATAAACAACAAATTCCACATTTATTTATTCTCCGCAATCGACATCAATAATAGGTTCTCTATATGCGGGAGACTTGCACGGCCGTTGCGCTGTAAAGGAAAATCGTGAGAATTCCGACGCATCGTGCGTTGTAGAAGTCGCTGATTAGCAGCGTAGAGTTTTGCGCGATTGCGAAGGGAACCCCGCGAGGACGAGCGACGAAACGGTAAATGCACACATAATGCTGTACACTTTATTGATTCCGACGATTACTTCCGCGAGAACGAAACGGCAGCCTGAGAGTTTACTGAAGCAACACGCGACGAATTTTTCTCGTAAACTTGGATCGAAACTCGCGACGAAAGTATCCCCGCGAGCGCCAGGCTCTTTCGCGATTTCGACGAGCTCGCGGAATAATATTTTTCCATATCGAGCCATTTGCGCAAATGGACATGCATACATTTTGCCGATCTCTTCTCACATCTCGCGTATATTTCCGAGCTCCGTCACTCACCCCCTAAATCGAAGATCTATATCTCGTTACTTTATACATTTGATACCGAAAACCTGTTGCATTCTTCTTTTTTATATTTATTTAATTAGTTGATTCATTTGATTTGTTAGTCCTTTGTTGTATTACCTTACACTTCGATATTCACGTCTTTTTCTTCATTTAAAAAATTTCTTGATTAGATCGTAATGTAAATTTCGTTCGTACATTTATCTTATTGTCAGACAAATCACGATGTAATGGAGATTAACGAGTCGTATACGTGATATTCTTTCAGAAAGTAAAGTCAGCGCTTGCGTCCAACACGTACAAGCTGGAAAACAGTGAAACCATCGAAGCCTCAATCGCCGGACATTTCGCGTATCTGCACGGGGTTCTCCAAAATATGGAAGCAAAATTGATGAGCCAGCTGCACGAGCAAAGTAACTGCCTGAAGAATAATTTAGAGAACCTCGACTTGCAGCTTCGAACGCAGGAGGAAAGATTGAAACTGACATTGCAGGTACGTTTCCCAGAAGTAAAAAATTATCACGGACGCTAGAAATTCATCCGCCACTTGCTTCAAACGTTCACCTCAACGTTCTGATCATCCTGTAAACGCTTCAGATTCTATTTTTTTTTATATAACTAGACAACACAAGCGCGCGCCATTTGCTCTCTCTAAAAATTCGCATGGTTCGGCAGCTGCAAATAACACGACTGAAGCATGTCGTGTCGCACAAGCGAGACAGCCAATCAGCATCTCGGAAAAGCGATAGCAATACTTTGAGACTTTCGACTTAACACGCCTTTTTTTTATATAGGATCCGTCGACTCTATTTGATTCACTTTAACTTTCTGGAATTAATGAAGAGTGTACAAAAGAATTTGATAGATGGAATAATCAGATAATTGACGGAGTAGCAGACGTAATGTTCAATTAAATTCGACATCTTTTTGTACAGCGGCTCAAGTTGAATCTGATAACATTTGTCTGCAGATAGCCTCCTGCGCGAGACAAATTTTCCACAAGGTGGACATACGGAACGCGATCAACATCCTGAAGGAGATGATAGATCTCCCTTGTCATCTGATGTACAAGGACGAGGGCCAGCAGCAAAATGCAACGTGAGTAACGAAAAGTTACGATCTAATTAAAGGGGCTGTCAAGACGTGCAAAATATTTGCTGACTCGCGCAGATTGTTAAGTTCCTCCTGTCAACTCGTGCTTTGCCGAGTTGACGATTCAAACGTTATTGAAGACGTTTCTTTATCAATATTGAAGTCCATGTTCAAAGCATAGATTATTATTGCAAAACTATCCGTCGCCTACGATCGCACGAAGCGCGAGCGAGTGGTTTTCTCGCTATCCGAATAACTTTGCTCGCTGGTGCAACAGAACGTTTCTTTAACAGATTTACCATCGACAACAATGTCGTCGCAGCCATTGAAGATCATTGTTCACTCGAAGTGACATCAATGTCGCCCTACAATCTCGTGCGAACAGACGAGCTACCGAAGAATTACATACAATCGCCTCTATCGAAGAAACTACGTTCATGTGAGAGCACTGATTTTATCGCGATTTCTTCGAATTTTCGCGTATTCTACAATCTTTTCTAACAAACCACAAGTCAACTCTTTGATAAAGTATTTCCATAAAATCTCATCCTCTTCTTTTCATTATGTGTTTTTTCAATTCATATAATAATGATTTGTGATTTGCGAGAGATCCGAAAATGCGCAGTTAAATAATTATGAAGTGGTATTAACAGTGGTCTTTGACGAAGTGCCATCAATGCCACTGGCGGTAAAGCCAAGTAATGTACTACCGGCAGTACAATTAAATGATGAACCATCAACGACAACCACCAAGATGAGAGATAACGGGCAGAGAAGTAAGTTAATTTTCTTATGTCTATGTTTAATTGCCAATCTAATAGGTCCCTTCCTCTTTAAAGGCGTTTCCGAGTGCAGAGTGGAGGTGACACACGTTGTCAATCCGTCATTGTTCTTCGTCCGAAAACTAGCCACGGAGTTCCCGCAATTGCAGGAAGACCTAACGGCATACGGAAACGACCAGGAGCAGAACGACCCGAATGCATCCGATACGAATTTTAAACAAGGTACGATCGCTCGCGACGTTGCTCGGCGACCGCAGTTTTATCGCGTTCGTTCTATTTTACAGGTGACATATGTATCGTCAAACAACGGAAGAGCAACGCGTGGTATCGAGGACAGGTGAACGGGACAAAAACAACCGACGGCGTAACATTGTACAATGTGACGTACATAGACTACGGCTTCGAGGAGTTTAACATAGCGACCACGAGGATTCGAGAGGTCAGTGAGGATCTGCGAAAAGTGCCACCGCAAGCGATTCGGTGCGGCTTACACGGCGTGGTGCCCAAAAATCTTTTCTGGACGAAGGCGAGTACGAGCGACTTCTTAAAGCTGATCAAAGAAAGGTAAGCCGATTAGCCGATCCTATGATTCTTACTCCCGTGCGCACTCGAAGAAAGTGAGCGCCTGCGTTAACCGTTTGATAGAAAAAAAATGTTCTATGTTACAGCAATTGTACGATGTCTGTCATCAAGTCCACTCCTGACATCCAGTACGTCGATCTCTGCATTTTCCCGAACGGTAACATGGGTCCGCAGTCGATGTGTACCGCTATGAAAATTATGGATTACGCGCGTTTAGACATTAAAAGCCCGGTACGTACATCCCTGCAGACAAGTTGCCAATATTCGGTTATTTTGGTCAATCTTCTTCTCGAAGTTTTCATAGAAAAACGCCTAATACTGTTCTATCAAATCACGATAATTATTTTTTTATTTTGCCACATGCAAAACGCTCTCATTCTCTTGTAGAAGAAGCAAACGTTGAAAATGAACGTTTATAATAAAGAAGAACTTTCGTTAAATAAGATGACGACAGTTAACATTGGCTGGATTGATTCACCGGACAAAATTTATGTTTTAAAGGTACAGCAATTACAATATCATATCATTACAATATTTATATTACCGTAATCTCGTTAGAGAGACAGAAAAGAAATCTAAAGTTTATGTTCTTGTTATATATTTTTGTAAATCTTCACAGGTTACGCAAACAAATGCGTTTTTGAAATTTAGGAATGAATTTAATAAGTATTTCAAAACAGAGACTTCAGCAAGAGTAATTGAGACACCACAGAAAGGTCGGTTTTTATTTACAAATATTTCTTGATTGGCGAGATTATTTTAGAGCTAGTCGACGATACTAATTAGACAGCTGTGAATTTTATATTAACACTTGTTACACGCCATAGAATAATTTTAAAAATTGATTTGAATAGGCTGTACCACTAATTATTTAATAACTTTGAAATTGAAAAGGTTACACAGAATTCGTAAAAAATTCGTAGTACTGAAAAGAAACTTCGATAGTGTTCGTTATAACTGTTATAATTGCAATATCTATAAATAGTTAGTCTTCAGGTACTTTCCTTAGAAAAGGTTTAACTTAAGAATTTAAATTTACCAGGTTTACCGTGCGCCGCACAGTTGGAAGACGAACTGTGGCATCGCGGCGAGATTATTGAAATAATAAATGAAAATCAAGTTCGAGTATTTTTCGTTGACTGGGGTTGTACCTTGTGTCTAGATAGCGACATGTTACGAGCGATTCCGTATGAATACACCGTATTTAAGGCACAAGTAAGTCAATCCCTCTTCTATATGGAGAATCACCCAGGCTTATCGTTTTCTCTCTTCTAGGCCATAAGGGTAGCATTGTTGTACATAATGTCTGAACCTGATGGAAGCTGGAAACCTGAAGTTCTTTCAGCTTTGCTGAAACTTTTCAATAATGCAAAATGTATCCTGGTGGATCCTCGAATAAAACAAGAGGACAAGTACATGGCATGTGTTTTCAGCGATAATATCAACGTCAGCCGTCATTTAAAACTCGCGGGCATTGTTAACGATTTTACGTTATACGATTGCAAGTCATTTAGGTGAGCGCTGACGTCGTATAAAATTTTTTATACAAACAATTTTTATTTGGTGTACGATTGTTCGATTCCTCATGATTATTGTTCTTTCTTTCCTCTAATGTAGCAAATTTAAGAACAGACCAAAAAGAAAATTAGCACCTGTTAAATGTACTTCTCCAGTGGAGAAATCCGATAAGACTGTCAAAGACTTGTGCATTTCATCGAATGATACGTCAATGAAGAATGATAAATCGGAGAGGGACGAGACGCCTAAAGATCCGTTCAAGGTGGAAGTGCGTATTCAACGGGTGGAGACGCCGGACATTATTTACGTCGCGCAGACGGAAAATGAAATATCGAACACGAAAATGATGTCAGCGATGCAAAACTTCTACAACAGCTACGTCTCCGAGCCACACGATAATTGGAGCGAAGGCGCAGTGTGCACCGTGTATTCCGCAAAGGACAAGTCCTACTTCCGCGCAATGATATTGAAGATTAAGTCCCCGACAGAGGCGCTGGTCTATTTCTACGACATGGGTATCGAGGAGACAGTATTGATGAAGGACATACAAGTCCTCCATTCGAAATTCGCCAAGGAAATGACGCACTGCTTCAAGGTGAAGCTGGCCGGTATTTTGCCGTGCGGCGGATCATCCACGTGGCCGTCATTATCCTGCACAACGCTGTGCGAGATTGTACGAGACAATGCAAACTGCAAATTTTACATCACTAAGCCGGTGAGAAACTTCTCTGTTTTTTTCGTTTACGCTAATTCATGAATTTGGGGGGAGAGGATTATGATTCGTAAAAGCTCATTTTAAATTCCACTTGTGATCTTATGTACCACGTATTTTCACGTATGTATTTTAATATATACCTCTTATACATGTATATTCCCCGAATCGCCCTTCGTTCTTTATTTAGCATATAAGATAAATAAAATTCTGTCATATGAATTCGACAAAAATTATAGACTGTTTAAAATGTTAATTATTATTAGAGGCCATAATAACGAGCATTAGTGGATGTTTGTTCAGAAAGATGTCACCATTTATTGTTAAATTGTGGTAAACGTTTCGGCTATACTAAGCCTTCTTCAGTACATTACCCGCTTATATATCGGTCGCTTACACGCAGAGCATTTTACATACCTATATCGGCAATGGATTGATAGGCCAACTTTTACGGAATCGGCTATGTCCATGCTGTGAAGATCTACAGCACCCGTGTTTTCCAGCACATTCTTCGTTTGTTGGCGAGAATATGTTTTTCCTAAGGACCTATAGCCTTCATAGTCTAAAGCCAACCTATGAGAGAACCAAAGGTGATATGTTGCGCTGCATCGAAAAACCAAACGATTTCATAGATTAGGAAAAACATATTCTCGCCAACAGACGAAGAATGTGCTGGAAAACACGGGTGCTGTAGATCTTCACAGCATGGACATAGCCGATTCCGTAAAAGTTTGCCTAACAATCCACTGCCGATAAAAATAAATGGTGATATCTTTCTGAACAAACATCCACTAATGCTCGTTATTATGGCCTCTAATAATAATTAATATTTGTATTCACAACATACAAGCGGAAGAGTTACACTCTGATTATTGTTATTGTTCGAAATGTGTTTAGAGATTACTTGATAAAAGTTGTTGGAGAAATAGTGTTAATTGCAGTTGCCGAATACGGTAAGGTTGGATTAAGTGTAAATTGCGCGTATTACTTATGTTAAGGTTCAGGAAGAATTTTGCAACAACGTGATACCTGTCGAGCTTTGGGTAAGGCAGTTGAAGATACCAGGACCATTGGCACCGGCCGTAATAGAGATCAATTCTATCAATCGAATGCTGGTGGAAAAGGGCGTCGCCTTACCTATTAAAAAGTAAGAAGAAATTAAATGAACTCTATATGCAATTTATATATGAAAAGAAACTTAATTTGTATGCGACATTCGAATCATGATTTTTAATCCAAATCGACAGTTACTTTGCAAAAGCAGACTCGATTCTCGCTGCGGAATTTAAGCAGCAGTTGGAGAGCAGTTGTTTGTTCGTGCCGTCCGAAGAAAATGTGAAGTGGATTAACAAACTGACGCACGAGAATGAAATGGATGATACGTTGGTGTCACAACATAGTAATCAGTCGGATTGCAATTCCACTACAGGCGCTTCAAATGCTTCAGGTTTAAAGACCAAAGACGAGGTTTGCGATTCGACAAATCGCGAGCACGTAGAGACGTTCTCAGAGTGGTTACCGCCGGTTGAAATAACGGAGGAAGTATTTCACGCTATACCGTCATACGTGGATAACAAATGCGCCGTGTACTTGCATTCTAAAAAGCACAGTACGTTGCCTTGATTGTACAGTAATTTACATAGAGTTCCTTTCTAATGGAATCCTGCATAGAATTTCACATTGATTTATATCTACATATATATCTGTGCCTGTATCATTTATATTGTTGGGGTATATAATATATTCGAAATATTTATACGATACATTCATTCGAAAATTATGCTCAAGCTCTATCGTATTGCTTTCGTTAGGTGCCAATATACTCAATTATATAGAGACCGAATTGCAAACTCATTATAAGAAAGTTAAAATTAACAAAGAGAAAAAGTGGAAGGTGGGAGAAATATGTATTGCTAAATATCATTGCAACGGAAAGTGGTACAGGGGTAGAATTACCTCAACTTCAGAAAAAACAGTGCAGGTACGGGATAACAAATTGATTATTTTCAACTATTATTTTCGTACTGTCGCTTTTCTGATCGTGCGCTCTGTATCCAGGTGGAATTTGTCGACTACGGCAATGTGGAAGACTGCGAGATAGATGACGTAACAGATGACGTTAGACTAGGACATATTCCTCTCCAGTGCACGAAATGCGTCGTCAGCGGATTAAAACCGGTAACAGGATTTCCTTTAGCAATATTAATTTTATTGTATAATACAATTCCGTGTTTCGTTTGCAATGACTTTTTCTAAATCTCTCCTCGTGTTTGCACAACAGGCATCCTCGGGCTGGATATTGCACGATTTAGACCGCATACACGCGCTTCTAGTTGATCGAACATGTAAAGTGACCGTTTTGCAGCGCCAACCTACATATTTAATCGTAAGTTGCATTTACGTCAGTAGTAATTTACGAGTATAAACGAAACCCTAATTTACAGCCTTTAATTAACTTTCGATAACGATTACTTTATTGTAATCCATTGCAATAATGTTATGCATGCATTAACCGTCATGTTTGCTATCGCTCAGGTATCGATAACATTATTGCACCCGTGGAAGAACGACTTTCTGTCATATCTTATAAATCACATGGATATGAATGTTAAGATCGAGCGTAAGGAATGGAATAATTCGGACAATAGCGGGGACGAAGATGTGAAATCCTTGGACACTACTAGAGATGTTGTCGTTGAAGGAGCGATAAGCGACTCCGAACAACTATGCATAACTGATACTTCCAAGAAATCTTCATCGGAAACAAACATACAGGATGTCACATTGAATGAGGATGTTACATTGAACGAGAATGTTACATTGAACGAGAATGTTACATTTAACGATATGATCAGCGGCAATTTAGCGGAGGAGACAGAGTTGTTTGCTAAACCGGAAGCCAAGCTGACATCCGATACCGAAAGTATATCCTCGATAGACATCAATGTTTTGAATAAGCATCTGATCTGTTCAACGCCGCAATTACAATCGGACGAAGAAGACAGTTTTCTCACATACAAACAGTTGATAATTCCGCAGGAGACGAAATACATTGAATTAATATTATGTTGCAACAAAGATCCCATCACCTTATTCACACAGTTGGCAGAAAACGACAATGAGATGTTCTCTAAGGTGGGCATACGCAAATTTATTATTAAATATATCTGACATAAAGAACGCCAGTCAAATTTATATTTTTCTTTCAGGAGTTTCACATGTATTATCTGCAATACATGTCCATAATGTCCGAGCTACAAACAGAGACTTTTCACCAACCGTTAATCACATCTTTTGCGAAGAGTAAGCAATATCGAAGATGTTATTGATGAATAGCATGATTTTATTGATACGCGACACGTGCAATGTTCTATGTTCAATTATCGTCAATATTTATTTTATAATTTTTCTTAGATACTCCATGCATTACGAAGTTTGTTGATGACATGTGGTATAGATGCGTCATTAAAAATAGCGAGAAAATTCCAAATAGTCAATACATGAAGATTTCACTGTATTACGTAGATTATGGTAATCATGAGAATAGAATGTTGGACTTATCCAAGTAAGATATTATCGATTTTTCATTATTTAAATTGTACAATGGATCGTATCATTAGTATAATAATAAAAAAAAGTTCTAGTAGCCATAATTTACACGTGCCAAAAGAGGAATGGTTGAAATTGCCCGCCATGGCTATCAAGTGCACACTTTGGGGGTTAAATTTCGTCTCCAAGGACTTGAATTTATTAGCATCGAAATTAAGTGAAATATATAATGAAGCAGTTGTGGCTCGAATTAAGGTAAGCTTATTTAGAATTCATTTATTTAAAAGTCACTTGAAAACATTAACTATCATTACAGGAGATTAACAATGGAAATAATCTGGTTGTGGAAATATACAAGGATAAAACGTGTACAGAGCTTTTTTATGCTCACTTAATAGAAGAAGGTTTATACCAGTTTAAGAAACCCAAGGAGGATTGAAGATCAGCAGCAGCTATTTGTGACTTCAAGTTTTACATCGCATTTATGATATAGTTTAAGTATACATATAAGTCGAGATATTACAACTGAATATTTTATTTTTTCTACAAATAAGGATTATATACTAGGAATTAAGTGTTCTTATAAAATGTTATTTTGTAGAAACGCTACGGCTCGTACACCTTAATATTGCATTAGGTTCAGTAACGTTTAAACAGTTCACATTAACGTTGTGTACTTTTTGCAATCTGTTCCTTTAGCACTAAGATGCTTTGCCTTTGCTCTGGTGGAAGCATTGCAATTTGTTCATCTGACAACTGCAGTACCTGCATTATCAAAGCCGCCTGCAAAAAGAAAATTTACTTAGAAAATAGCCGTAGCTCCTTAAGATATACTTTTTTTCCGTGTGATTTTGTTTATGATCGCGCTCTGATTTAATACACTGACATATTCAATTAAATTTGTTACAAGTTTTGTACAGTCGTCAGCACAGAGGTTGCGACACTTTTCTTTAATGAGTTTACAAACGCGCAATGGCCGCGTTCAGCAGGCACAACTGTTGAGCGAGCGCTCAATGATTACTTATCATGATTGGCTGAATCTAAAAGTTAACCAATCATATTGAGCGCTCACTCAACAGTTGTGTCTGCTGAACGCGGCTAATAAAATTCAGGATGCGAATCACTGTCCGCGCTCATGCGCGGCGAGTGATCATGATGCTGTCAAATTTGTGTATACAATGTGTAACATAAATTTATATGCCGCAGCAAATCCATAATAGATAAACATGATCATTCAGTTGATTCGTGTCAAGACCGGCAACTCTGTCAGATCAGATCTTTAGCCGGTTTGCCTCTTGCGAAAGATCTGATCCGACAGCGAGTTGACACGAATCAACTGAATGATCATGTTTATTTATTATGGATTTGCCACGGCGTATAAATTTATGTTACACATTGTATACACAAATTTGACAGCATCATGATCAACTCACCGCGCATGAGCGCCGACAGTAATTCGCATCCTGAATTTTATTGCGCGTTCGTAAATTCATTTAAAAAAAGTGTCGCAACCTCTGTGCTGACGACTATATACACGTAATTTAGAGACGGTATTCATAGTCTAATTTTCTATTCAATATCGTTTTGAAATTGATCGTGAGTAGACTTGATCTAACCAGTGAAATGATCAGAATCTCTAAAGCGTACTGAAGACAATGAATATAAGATCGGACTGTGAATCCGCCCTGTGTGTTTTCGTTCCTATATTTTATTTTATAGAAGCGTGAATCAAGCGACTGTGATGACACAATTTTCTTTACAAAACCTTTAGTCTCAAAAGAAAGAAAATTTCAAATATATGTTTATATATATATATGTATATATATATACAATAAAGGCAAGCTGAACCGAGCTTTGTCAATGGAAATATCACTGCGACACATACCTTTTCCTGATCGGACGCGCCACTAGGAATATTTCCCGCTGGAGACATTCCCACTAGTCTCGTAGTCGCGGAACTCGCGGACTGCGAAAGCGCAGCGGCAGAGGAGCTGGTTGTGTTGCTCGTTATACCTGATGTACCTGACGCTGGCACAGTCGGTGCAGCAACCGGTCTCGGAACAATCGGCGGTGCAACAGGAGTCGCTGGAAGTTTCAAAAATTAAAGTCTAAATAATAACTCGTCGAAAAACAATTCTTGTTAATAATAAACTTTCAAGTAAGACCCCTATCTAAAACTAAACAATATATGAGAAACCGCCAGTGTGGGTTACGAGGCAAGATGTAGGTAGTTCAACTTGCAAATCTTAAATCTTTCTGAAAATCGTGAATCTATATACCGTTTCTTACCACATTAGTTCTACGCGCCGATTTCTTTTTCGGACATAACGCAGTTTATCATATACGTGGAATTATTGTCGTCAGCAGATTCACGTATTCGATTCGATAATTATTTTTCAAATGCAAATCGCATTTTTCTGATGCTACATTTAGCATTCAATACTTGTTAAACTTAGACACGTAATTAAGCCAATCTCTCCCTCTCTCTCCCTCCTCTCTCTCATATAATATAATCGCATGCGTAAAAAGAAAAAATAGAAACGTACGATTAGATTTGGTGATCCTAGGATCGATGGGCATCCTGGACTCCCTGAGATCTCTCGAGTCTCTGCTGAATCTGTCAGCTCTCGGATCGCGGTAGAAGCTGAAAGTAATGTCGATTTAGTGAAAGAAAGATAACAATGACATTTATTTAAGACGTATATATGCATATGAGACCTCTCGATTCCTTCCACAGGAAGAATGCTGTAAAAAAGAGCTCTTTGAATTACGCAGCCTCTTGGTGCCTATCTCGATCGACGCGAGGCAAACTTACTTGTCCGCGATATTAAACGCATTTGCCGCCCTCGGATCGACGGTGGCTGGTATCACTGACGGCGCGCTGACTGGCGTAGGCTGCGTCTGGGGCGATCCTCTTAAATCTTGATCCAACCTGGCTACACGCGGATCTAACTGCCTGTCCAGTCGAAGATCCACATCCTGACCTGTTTTCACGGATTGAATTTAGAATCTCCAGCCGGCAGATGATCGAGACTTTGCGGTTTATATGACAAAGCTGTAGTAATTTGTTAGTCATTAATTTTCGAGTCCGAATGGGCCAACTTTACGGAAAATTAATGAATACATTTCTCAAGATTTCAACGCGATTCTTCACTAGACTAACAATTGCCGATTGATTCTCAATCAACGTCGCGACAAGGTAAACTATCGTCGTACCCGCGAAAATGGGCGCTGGGGCGTTGACAACGGGCGGCGGGGGTCGCGGCGCCCACGGCTCCTCGATTCGCGGCTGCACCTGCGGGATCGGTTTCTCCGATGGCGACAGCACGCTGGGAATTGGATTGGCCTTGTGCAGCATACTGACAGCCGTGTGCGGATCGACTATCCTCATGACCACCTGTGCCTGGAGCAGCGCATACGCCAGCTGGGGATTCTGCAGCAGCATCTGACGCGCCTCGTGCGGATTGTTCTGCACGCAGAGCTTCATCTGCTTCATCAGCTCGAACATCTGCTCCGGCGGGAGGGACGCCACGGCTTTGCTTATCGCCTCCGGTGCCTTGTCCGACTGCACGGCCTCCCCGTAAGGGTTCTCTGTGTTCTGGCCCTGCAGGAGACTCTGCATCTCCATGCGACTTTTCTCCGTGCAGGCATTGTCCACGCGCAACGTTCGTCCACCGATCTCGTATCCATTCAGGTTTCTCATAGCGCTCAGAGCTGTCTCCTGATCTTTGTACTCGCAGAAGCCATATCCCTTGGGCTTGCCTGTCTCGCGGTCAAATACCAATCTGCAATAATTATGTATCACTGTCGCTTCCACACAATGGAAAAATCGGAGCAATTGTGAGAAGGAAAAAACTTGCAGGTACAATAAAAAATATAAATGAATAGTATGTTAGAGAACTTCATACGAGAAGTTTACAAAACATTCTGGACCAGCGATTTACAACCTTTTTCATCTCATGGCATGCGAACTAACTACTAAAATTCTGCGGCACCTCAAAAAATTCAATATCATTAGATTCTAAGAGAAAAGTGGTCAAAGCCGCGACACATTTGAAAATCGCTGTCCCAGGTGATAATTCGACGTCGACGGACTCAAGTTGTTTACTCGGGCCATTGTTTTAAAATTTACAGAGCTTGTGTTGGATGCTAGAGACACGCCGGAAAGCTTGAGGGAAATCGCTTTTAAATCGTTCGATGCGATCAAGTAAGACGAGCAACGGAAATTACGGACTCACTTGAAGGACAGCACCGGCCCAACCTCGCTGAAGATATCCTTCAGATTCTCCTCCGTGGCCTCGTACGGAATGTTCCCGACTGTGGAACAGCGACATTAATGTGACTGATATGACAGGCGGCAGCCGCGCAGCTCGTACGTTAAATTACTCACCGAAGACACTCCGCATCGACTTGTCCATCAGCGACTGATCCGAAATAGTTGAATTGCTCATTTTCGCGCTTGTTTTCTAACAGGGGACGAGGCGTTCGGTCTCACAACCTCGACAACGAGACAGTCCAAGACCCCTTCTTGGTTAATGGACGCGCGTACTGTCGATCAATCTAATCTCGTGTCGTATAAAACTGAAAACGAATCTCTGTTTCAGATGGAATAGAAAAAACATCAGACTGTAAGAATGTCTAAAAATGACTCAAACGAACGTGCCAAACGTGCTCAACCGCTCAGTGCTCACGTTTCAAATGGAACTCCGTGAAATCCACCCAGTGGCGTCTCCAAAGAGTAAAGAGACACAGGAGGGCATGGTGGAAGGAAAACAAGGTGTGCTCTTGCGCATCCATCTCTAATAACCAATGAGCGCGTTGGGCCAAATAGGAGACATATTGATTTATTGGCCAATTGAATTAAAGCGGCAATTTTTAAATAAGATTCAAATTCTTTTCCTATTCTATATAATATACTATATACTTAATACAATTTTATTTCATATAATAAATTAATTTTAAATAAAAAATGACAAAATTATATATAAAAGAATATTAAAATAAATGTAGAGAATAAGAATTCGTATACAATTAAGAAATAATAAAATTATATCGATTAAGTCTTTGAAATGCTCCAATTAAACTTAAATAATAATTATAATGAGCATATGTCTTAATAAAAAACAGACAATAAACCAGAGTATATATTACATTTTTTAATTGTGCTTTTATATTTTTGACAAATTTGACAGGTTTCCTTAATTAACTTGTATTAATCGACAGATTAAATCAATTAATTCGGTAGCCGCGCAAAAAATAAAACTTGTCTCATGTCTAGATACGATTGTCGTCTATCAGGAAGACATTGATAATTCACGAACAAGCAAGGAGCGTGCATGTAGCGACAATCGCACTACACGCGGAAAGTGAGACGTCAATTCGCCATATATCGATTCGGCATATTGACCAGAAAGATTGGCCAAAAATGATACTTTTTACCTATTTTTGCACTTTGTCGAAAAAATAAGAAAGAAGATGACGAAAAGATTTTGATGTCTTTCGTTAAGACGAAAAAATATTTTTTAGTCGATTTTTTGCTTTACCGAAAGGCGACTTTCAACTTCCTGAAAATGTCGACTTTAGATCGACATTCCTTTTACTTGAGCAATCAATAAATCTCACTCTTCTGCCATTGTAGAAACGTAAAAGATTGAGATAACTTATGTTTCTCTCTCACTCGTGGGAATTTGACGAACCCTTATGGCCAGTCTCTGGTTACAGGGTCTCTAGTCCCCACCACCCCGTCGCACACCAACCGCTCGGGCTATCTCCCACTACTGCTACCTCACTTGTAGGTGGAAGTGTGGAGCGAGTTGGACGGCATTTCGACCTGTGTAGACTTCTCTGAACACGTGTACGTAAGAAATTGATTGTGATCGAGTTGTGAAAACTTGAAATATTCCTTTTCTAAGAAAAGCAAGAAATTCTCATTTTTAGTTCGCGTTTATTCTTCGCACGCTTCACGTTTCGTATGCTCATTCTTGTTATAAAGTAAGACGATGAAGAAGTAATGTATTTGCTTCTCACACGGTATTATTATTTCCTCTTTTGAAACCATACCTGTTTCACTGATGATTAATAGTGCATTAATACGAAAAACGATAAATTAGTTTTTCCGATCACATTTTTAACTTAGTCTCGCATTAAAGTTTTAATTTTCAAATAAACAAGCGACAAGGCTAAACAACAA